GGACGTGAGGCAGATGAGAAGCAGATGGCAGGATGGGCACGGGGACTGGGGAGATGGGCCCTGGGATTGAAGCATCACTCCCACCATGGCCAGTGCCAGGCTGTCATCTCTGGCACATCCCTGTGATGGCAGCAGGTCTGTGCTGGTGCAAGGTCACAGAGGCTCCCCCAGCCAGGACAGGGAAGGGCACAGCACCCGGGCCCCAGGGAATGGCCCTGGTGGAGTAATTGATGCCAGTGCCTCCTGGAGAAGCTCCAGTGGGCCACCCCAGCACCCTTCTCCCTTCCAAGCCCAGGATCCCCAGCTCCAAAACCCCACTGCAACAAGTCCTGTGTTCAGCCTTCTTAAATTATTTTTAATTTCCTGGATGGAGAGCTTTTAATTTATTTCTGGAACAAAGTGGGGGAAGTCCATCACTAAGCCCCCTCCACTTCCAAACATTCCCTTTCCCACTGTCCCCAAGACGACAAGACCTGAGTCACCCTGTCCCCTCTATCCTGTGCTCCAAACTGGGATTCTCTGCTCTGGGGTTCCCCACAGTGTCCTCACAGGCAGGTCCTGGCAGATAGTGACAGCTGGGCGTGGGGGAACACTGGCTGGCAAAGGAATTGAGCTGTTTTTACAGAAAATCCTGCTGGTTTCCATCAGACACAGACAATCCCAAGAGCTGGGCTCAACCTGAGCTGCACCAGTGCAAAATCCCAATGAGACAGACCCATAAAAACACTGCTTCTGGATCCCTCTGTGACCCCAGAACTTCCCTAGCTCCTACCATGGCTGGCAGTTGGGGGAGGAACCCCAAACCCCCCAAACCAGTGGAGCCAGGGCCAGGGCAGCAGGTTGGCAGCAGATCCAGCACACTGGCACCCATTGGCATGTGGGGATTCCTGGGGTGGGGACAAGCAAAGCTGAGAGAGGAGCAAACCCTGTTCTGCCCTGGAGCCAAACTCACGGTTTTCTGTGCTGTTGAAATCTAAACCTGAGATGGAAAAGTCCTGTTTTTACCTCACAGTGAACTGGGGAGAAGGTCCCTGAATGGATCAAAATTCCCTCTGTGCTCTCAGTGATGAAAATTTCACTCTGAGTTCAGGCCATGGTGGGAGTGAAGCCCAGAGCAGCACAAAGCAAAGGCTGAGCTGAGCCCATTGTGTGCCCAAACTCCTGTTCTGTCCTGCCCATTCCCAGGTGCCTGAGTCAGCTCCTGCCTTTCCTGTGCCACAGGAAGGGTTGGTTCTTTTAACCCCAGGCTTCTCCTGGAGCTGCAGCCCGTGTCCCAGTTACAGCTCTTGGTCCTGCCCCTCTGACTGCTCCTCCATGGAGCTGTCGAAGCCTTTGGAGCAGCCAGGAGCAGGAGAGGCTGTCAAGGGGCCTGTCAGGCAAGATGAGAAATTGAAACAACTTATTTATCACTCACATCTTCCACTGCTCCAAACCCTCACCATGTCATCTGTCCCTACATCCCACCTCCAGCAATTCAGAGCTTTCAAAAGGATCTTTGCCCACCCTGAAAGCACCTCCATCGCTCCTTCCCCCCCGGGGCAGGTGAGAGGAGCCGAGCCCAGCCTGGTTTGGGCTGTGGAGGCTGAGGCTGCTCTGCTCGTGCCGTGTCTATGGCAGAGCTCGCACAGGATGGCAGGGAAGGGCACATCGGCTGATCCGGCAGGAGATGGGACCATCCCCGCCCGGGGCATCTCTGGGGGTGTTTGGGCTGGATGTGGCTGCCCCCACCGCCTCTCCCAGCCCCACAAAGCTCCTTTATCTCCCGAGACATTCCCGGTGCTTCATGTGACCCCGCGCCGGGGGGGACTCGTGGGAACCGTTTGATGTTCCTGAGCCTTTTCCTTTCCCAGCGCGGACACCCCGGCTCCGGGCGAAGGGAATAAAGAACCCACTGAGCACTGTTCCCATCCCCACGGGGACCTGCTGAGCCTCACGGGACCCACGGGCCGGTGGGAAGGAGCCAGAGAACCCCAATCCAGCCACCCCGCCCGTGTCGGGGAGCTCCCACCGGCACCCACCCAGCGCCGCCTGTGCGTGCCGGGAGGCTCCAGTTCCTTCTCCCTGACACGGGTGGGACTTTTCCCCTTTCCCTCCTTTCGTGGAGGACAAGGGCGGGATTTTCTCCAGGGATGCTGTGGGTGAACATGGACCCATAGGGTTGCACACAGTCACGGCAGCCGGGGGCGGGCGGCAGCGGGGGGCACCGGGCAGGACCGGGCGGCCCCGAGAGCCCGGTCACCCCCCTGAGCATCCTCGTTCTCCCCAAGCATACCCACTCTCCGTGAGCATCCCTGATT